ATATCGTAATATCTGTCAACATATCAAAAACTCATAACAGATTTTTTAGAGTAAATCTCCCAGGCTAGAAAACTATGGTGTGTGCCATGTGATCATCCCGATCCCTTCCCTATGCTAGCTGAAGTACCTGAAACCAAACTAAAAATTGTAAGCATGAAGATTGGTGAGCTCCCCTAAACCACCACATACCATACACATAACATATAACATGTAACATAAACTTTGGGACACCGCCCATCTGCATCGAGACACCCGACATCAGCTTACCAGGCATCGGACTCCTGCCCGGCATCGGGCTCACCCCGACATCAAACAATGTCTGGCATCGGGCTTGCCCCGGCATCGGGCTTACCCCGACACATACACAACATATCATATATCATAAACAAATAACATAAGCATATAACATAATTGCATCGGGCTTACCCCGGCATCGGACCGAAGTTCGGAACACATAACAGATAACATATAAACTAACATACATCGAGCTTGTCCCAGAACACATAACACATAACATGCATGAATCACAAAGACATCAAGCATACATATACTCTTCTCGGGACCGCCCTAGCATCGGACCGGAGTCCGGAACTACTGACTTCTAAACGGGCCGGCATTGTAGCCTTAGACCCGTTCCTATTGGAGAGAAAACTCACCTCTCAAACTGAATGCTGAACTCGTGCGTGAGGAATCTCTGCTGGCTGCTCCCACAACTCCTCGGATACCAATATATAATAATAGTTAGTCAGAAATCTGGCAATCTTGCTTAGGGTAAATGACCATTTTACCCATGGGCAAAGTCAACGTTTTGGTCAAAGTCAACCTTCCAGGTTGACCAAACTCGCCGAGTCATCCTATTGACTCGTCGAGTTCTAGAACTCAGAAACCCTAAAATCGCGACTCGACTCTCCGAGTCACCCTATGACTCGTCGAGTTCCCAGGCTACCCATCATCGCGACTGGACGAACTAACTCGTCGAGTCGTCCTCAGACTCGCCGAGTCCTAGCATAGTCAGAAAAGGGACAAGATAATCCAACTCGTGGAGTTCCTTGACAACTCGCCGAGTTTCATGAACATCATCGAGGATCCTTGATCGGACTCGCCGAGTTCCCATATGAACTCGTTGAGTCCCTTGCAGATCTACCCTAAACAACTGATTTCACACTTCTAAGGCTCCAAAATACAGATCCAGATCATTTCCATGGTCCATTTCTATAAAGTTGGAGACTTGATGGCTTTGCACACCTCAAATGGACCCAAACTCAAGTTATAGGAACCTACTTCCATGAACATGACCATTGCTTGGACAAAAACGGGTTCAATACCTCTTTTATGGTTCTAGAGGCTAAATATCACAGCAAAAAGGGATTGCTTGGCATACAACCCATGGAGAGTAACTTATCCTTCTAAAAGGGATCAAAAGACCCATAAATCAAACACTAAAAGAGATCTAAGCTATGGGTTATCAAGCTAAGAGCTTTTTACCTCAGAAGGTTGCCAAAGATGGATGAAATCCTGGATCTTGATCTTCTCCACAAGCTTGATGACTCCAAGCTCTTCCAAATCTCTTCTATATCACAAAAACACACTCAAACCCTCAATAATCTCTCAAGGATGAAGCTCACAATGAATTAGGGTTTTGGAGGACAGGGAGGCTGGTAAGGGAGGCCCAAAAGGGGTTAAGTGGCTTAAATAGGGTGCAAAACCCCGAAAATAGGGTTTCCTCCTAACAGACCTACTCGTTTAGTCAAGGCTTCGACTAGACGAGTAGACCATTTAAATCCTCGCGTCCAATCGGGCATCTACTCGACGAGTTAGGGCTACCAACTCGTCGAGTAGCTTTTACAAAATTAATAATAAATGAACTGATGCGTACCAGGAACGGGGCGTTACAACGTACATAAAAAGAATGTCCAAATTTGACCTCGTATGAGGAAATTATGACTTTTCTAAAACTTAGCATAGCAGTGCACAATCCCGAATTCGAATTTTAGATCGATCGATTTCTAGCCGACACCATATAAACGAGAATTGAAGATCTCGTTAATAAGAACTCAACGATATAAAGACAAACGAAAACGGACGTTGGATGACAAAGTTATGAATTTTTAACAGACTTTATCTGTCTAAGCCTGTTAAAATATAACTTTAAAAATAAAGTCAAAATTAGCCAGCGGAATCTAAACAAAAGTCATAGATTACGTCGCCACCTACGTGTGGATATAAAGAACGTCAAAAAAGGAGCTCCTATACGAAAGTTATGGAATTTAGAATTCGGGGATAGGCTGATGCGAAGGGGGACACGTGGCTTAATCTCGACCCTTGCTTTTTCCCCATGGTCTCGCATTCGGATCTCGAGAACTGGCCCTAGTACGCGCAACATAGCACCTCGTACGCATTGCGTACTGAGTATGCGTTTCGTACTCTAAAGCTACGCCCAGCAGAGTCCGAGGAGTTCAGCTATAAATAGATGTGATGAGCACCTCATTTCTTCACACCATAACCCTTCTTTCTCTCTCAATACTCCAAAACTATCCCTCCCCTTCCCTACTATTTCCTAAGTGCTAGAGGCGAGTCCCGGAGCGCCAGAAAGCTTCGAGAAGAAGAGCTTTCAGCTCGGAAGTTTTGCCCCCACAAAGCCCGGTTCCTAACCAAACCCCCTTGTAAGTGAGTTATGCTTACCCTACTTTAAGTATAGCTTATGTTTAAGTTTATTATCGTTATTATGAATCTATAATTAAACAATATATGTAAGAATTATACAATATAAAAAGTGTTATTATAATACATTTTAACTGTTCGCGGTACGGGGAATCTGGTTTGAAGGGCCGCATAGGGTTATTGGATTTCAGAATAACTTAAATGCCAAAATGGTCCTTCCTTCCGGTGTTTCATGTCTGGCCCATGTCTGTACATAATAGTTGAAAAGTATTGTTTAACACTTATAAAACAATATCGCTCGTAAATAGTCACAATAAATATTAGACCAAAATCTAGTGGTAATAATATTAGGTTTCGTCGAAGGAAAATACAATTGTTAGAAGTGAAGCGCTGCCCGAGTTTGGAATCATCACTTTAACAAGTGAGTGCATAGCTACTTTCATCTTACACATAGATATGAAGTATTTAATATAAATTACGTGCTATGTGTGCATATTATCTACGTACTTGATATTTATGCTGGATGAACAGAATATACATGTTTTACTTTATTTGAACTGTATATGTATTTTATACCTATAATTATGATTGGTAAAGATGGGTAGATGATACAGATGATGAAATAAATGATGAGAGGCCTCAATTTTTACGATGATCCAGTCATCTAGCGGAGTATAGATGACAACCACGGACTATTCTAGACAGTCCAGTGGAACGCTAGCAGGCTCGCAACCTGTAGGTGTTGATTTGAACTACGTGTTCACCAGGTGTACTCCATCCCCCTCATTGTTGCCTTATTTTACATATATTGCTGAGGAATCCCCAAAGCAGTGTTCTTATCCCGATGAAAATCCTTAGGTTAGGTCCCTTGAATTAGATGCTTTATGGACTGAAAGTGAGGATAACGGGAACGGGTAATCAGGTTGATTGATTTGATGAAATTAATAAACTTAATTATTATGGGTCGAAAACCCTATGTGCTCACCAGACTCTCAAGCCTGGCCCACTCTGTTTCTTGTATTACAGCTAGTGGCACAAGAGCATAAATCTGATGATCTGATGAGAGATTATGGATTATAGGCCAGTAGAAATAAATAGAATGTTGTAAGGCCTATGTTGTTTTTGGTTATGCTTTTGATCTGTATTGACAATGAAATCCCGAGGTTTTTAATATAATGAAATACATTTCTTTGGAAATGCTTTGATAAATTCTTTATTCATAATTTTTGGGAACAAATTTCGTAACATATTTCTTCAAAAGTATACTTTGATTTTCAAATAAAGCATAAACAATTCGGTCTTTTCTGGCCGAGAAATTGCGGATGTCACAGTTTAATAAAGTAGTTTATGTCTCTCATTCACAGTATTTACAACTTAAAAACATGATTGATTTTGTTGTATCATTTCATCAAATATCTTGTGTGCACCAAACAAATTCACAGTTTAATAGAGCATTTCAGGACTCTCATTTACAGTTTAATAAAACAATTTAGGAATCTTAGTCAAAGTATTCACAACTTAAAAACGTATTAATTCACTCATTCACAGGTAATACTAACTTTAACAGAACTAACCAATAGTTGAAACATTAAAAATCAAAATTCACATCTTAAAAAAATAAATTCATATTATTTGAGAAAACATTAACATAATAACACACATTTTAATTTCAATTCACAGTATAACAACAATAAAACATAAACTGTGAATAACAATTTGATGTAAATATTATAACAAATAAGAAAACAAACATTGATTCACAACTTAACAATAGAAAAAACTATGATTAACAAAAATAAACAATAAATGAGAGATTAAAGCATTAAATTCCAGCTTAACAGAAGTCGACATACCTGATGTGTTTCATTGGAGATCAGATAGAAAGAGATGGAGGAGTTGGAGGTGTTGGAACAAATTACTGAAATCGTCCATGTGGTTTGGCTAAAATTGCACGTTTGGTCCCTATCTTTTGTTTTGCACCCGGACCATCCTCACATTTTCTTTTTATTGCCCGCCTGGTCCCTGAGTCCGTTAGTCGTCAATTCCAAACGTTAAGTCCCCCACGTGCTTTGCACATGAGGGGTATTTTCGTCATTTTATATAAAAAAACCTATTAGAACTCCCCCTAAACCCTGATTCTCTCTATTTTCTTATACGCCCTTTCTTCATCTCTTTCATTTCCTATTCACTGAAGTGTCGATTGAACCTAATGGAAAAAACCTGCAAGTGTGGTCAAGTTGGTGTGATACGAAGATCGACTACCAAGAAAAACCCTGGAAGACTTTTCTATTGTTGTACTGGGAAGGTAAGGGTAATTTCTTCTTAAGTATATCTATATATCACATACCTGTAACACACAACAAATTACTCAAAATGCAGGGAGAAAAATGTGGTTTTATAGATTGGGTTGATGAGGACAACTTTAATGGTGAAAAAACTAAAAAAAGTATCTCCCCTGATTTGCAGAAGTCAATGGACGAGCTTCAACATGAGAATAGGACCTTGAGGCTGTTATTAGTGTTCAGTTGGGTTTTTTTATGTCAATTTTAATTTACAAGCTTTAATTTATGCTATCAATGTACTTATCTTTTGTTTCATCAAGGCAGTAATGTAATAGAATAGCAATGTATTAATGGCATTGACTATTGGAATAGAATTGTCTGTTGGAATGCAATTTTCTTTTGGAATGGAATTGATTGCTTTATAATGGAATGGAATCAATTGTTTTATAATGGAAATTGATTGTTTTATAAAGGAATGGAATTGACTGATTTTCTATTGGAATGGGATTGAATTGAATTGAATGATTGAATATAATTGAATGGTATTGAATTAGAATGGAATTAAATTGAATGATTGAATAGAATTGAATTAAATGGAATGGAATTAAAACAAAAACATAACAACAAATTAATAGTGCCAATTGTTCATACCATAATTGAAAATAGGGATACATTAAAACAACATAATTGTTCATACCATACATAGACAACAGGTCCCAAAAGTCATACCATAATTGTTCATAACACAGACACAAAACATAATGACAAATATAACAAACAAAAAAAGATCATAACACCATAATTGGTTCATAACACAGACACAAAATATCAAAACACAGTCACAACTTAAGCAATACTCTTCCCTTTCTTCCCAGCCTTCCCTTTTCCTGCTTGAAAGTCCATCACCTGCACTTTGAGTTCCACTTTGCCTATCACCACCTGCACTTTGAGCTTTCTTCCAAACATTCCCTTTCTTGCTTGAACTACCATCACCACCACTTTGATCTTTCTTCCCATCCTTCACTTTCTTGCTTGAACTACCATCACCTACACTTTTAGCTTTCTTCCCAGCCTTCCCTTTCTTGCTTGAACTACCATCACCTGCACTTTAACCTTTGCAGCTTCTTTTATTATGACCAAGTTTTTTGCATTTTGAACATGTCACACTCTTGTAGGTACAAGCTTTCACATTTCTTGTTTGTAGACATCTATGCTCTTTTTCGTAGGTCCTGGTCTCCCAGTCAACATCTTGTTCCCACTTGCAAGCATAAAGTACCCATGGACACTTGTTTTCTTCACTTTCTTTATTGCTTTGACTGGGACCACATGGGTCAAGTTGACCAAGGTTTGGGATAGTACCTTTACAAATAGCTCTCACTCTGTTTTTGTCATTTTTTATGAATTCTAGTTCCCTCCGTGTCTCTACATCATGTTTTCTTATTGCATCTTTCAATTCTTCAGATGAGGTGAATTTTTGGTACACATAGAATGGATCACTAACTCTTGCTTCACTGTTTTCCATTGCCCTTCAGATTGCCTTAATTGACTTTCTTCTCCTGTTGCTCCCACCTTCATCAGATGATGACTCATATAAGAATACCTCATTGTTTACAACCTCAATATCATCAATTTCCCTTGTTTCTGTTTCCTTGACATTTGACCCTCCAAGATCACCCACCCACTCTATATCTTCATTAACAAAAACTTAGTCATGTCTATCTCAAGTTCATCTAGGAGGTTATCTAAGTCTACTATGAACTCACTATCATCACTATCATCAACATCATCTCTATCGTCACTTTCATGAATAATCCCTCCGGGTACTTCATTTAGAATTTCATCAAATTCATCAAATACCCTTTGTGTTTCACAGTGGGCATCAATTTGGTCAGTTTCAGTTTCTTTGGTTGTCACAACATCTGGTTTGCTTGATCCAATACAATCCCCTGTTCCAGTTTCCTTCCATTCCAAAAATAGCCTTCTACTACACGAAGGTTGATCAACGATTTTTTCTATCCTAACTTTACTAGGGGTAGATGACATTGTATATGTATGCAACATTGTTTTACCATGTTCAACATACACTTCAATCAGTTTATGTTTGCCCACATATGTACCCAAATGGTTAATGTCACTGTCACTAGCCAATGCAAACAACCCAAAGTCCAAATCTGAAAATGGTCTTTTGAAGTGGTAATGAAGCAACTTACCCTCCTCAGCACAACCTAGGGACTCCATCATCTCATCAATATCGTGCACACAAAACTCATCACTGTCCAAAAGATCAATGTATCTTTCTTTGCCCTTGACGTACCTCCTTCTAGGAAACTTCGTAAACTCTCCACCATAGAATAATCTGATGGAGAAGATAGTTGGATGACCAGCTGTAAAAGAGAAAGCTTCAACTTATTACCTTGAAATTTGTAGATGATAAATTTAATTTATGAAAATAAGGGGTTACCGTAATGTTTTTCAACGTCTATTTCTTCCATGTTTGCTCTAATCCTCCAACCCACCATTGTTGCTTCGATGATTCTTGCAGAATTTTGAGGAGTAAGGGTTTCTACTCGATTTTTAGGAGTTATAGATTAAGTGAGAGAGAGAGAGGTGATCGTAAAATGATCGGAATGAAGAAACGATTGGCATTGCATTTAGGCGCCATGTATAAAATGACGAAAATACCCCTCATGTGCGAAGCACGTGGGAGACTTAACATTTGGAATTGACGACTAACGGGCTCAGGGACCAGGCGGGTAATAAAAAGAAAATGTGAGGATGGTCCGAGTGCAAAACAAAAGATAGGGATCAAACGCACAATTTTAGCCAAACTACAGGGACGATTGGAGTAATTTGTTCAAAAAACTATGATTAACAAAAAATAAACAATAAATGAGAGATTAAAGCATTAAATTCACAGCTTAACAGAAGTCGACATACCTGATGTGTTTCATTGGAGATCAGAGAGAAAGAGATGGATGAGTTGGAGGCGTTGGAACATATCTAAGGTGGTAAAACTACCATCGGCCACTGGTACCACGGTTATTGTTTCAAATCTATACATGAAATAGCACCACACAAACTAGATCTAGAAAAAATCAAACCACATACACCAGATCTGACCAGATTTGAACGTGATGTCGACAGTAGCAGGTTGTGGTGGACATCAGTGGTGGCAGCGATGGTGGAAGCGAAGTTGACGGTGGTATCAAATTTGACCAAATCGCGCCATATTTGAGATGTTTTTGCGTTTTAGAGAGGGAAAGTCAAGCTAAATATACTTCGTGAATCAAGATCTGAAATCAAGTGACGATTGATGGTGGATATGAAGGAATTTTCATCAAATATTATCAAATCTGTGTTTTCGTTGGTGGTAGGTTAAGGACATGAAAGAGGAATTTGCGTTGACAGTGAAGGATGAAGGTGGTCGTTATGCCGCTTGTTGGAGATCATAAATCCAGAGGAGAAAATCATAGTTCTGATGACAAAAATCATAGATCTGAACACGAAAGTCATAGATCTGAAGAAGAAAATCATATATGAGTTGAAAATCATAGATCTGAAGCTAAAAATCGTAGACCTAAAGCTGAAAGTGTAGATCTGGAGCCAACCAGAGCTTGTAGATCTGATGGCGATGGTTCATCGGTGGTAGGAGACCACGACGGTTTGTCGGCGGCAGGAAGCGGCAACAGGGGTGGTGGCTGGTGGCAACTGGTGATATTATTTGCGTGTTCTTCAAATTTGAGAAAAGAGAGAAGATATCCATGTGAGAGTGTTTGTAGTGTGTGTAGATCAAAAATAATAAAAGATGAAAGTGAGCTATTGTGTTATAACTTAATACAAAAGGTTTTTAAGTGGTTCTTAATCTTTAGGGGTTCTTATATATATATATATATATATATAATATATATTATATATATATAGATATATATATATAGATAGAGTAAGGTTCTATGGTAAATTTATTTAAATAAGTCATAGGTTTTATTGGCGAATATCATATATATATAGATATATATAATATATAATATAATAGTTGGTGAGACCCATTTATTACATGGGTTAATTTTTTTTTTTTAAAAAAAAGTTATATATAAATGTCTAAATATTTGAGAACTTTAAATTTATATGAAATAAGAAAAATAATGAATTATTAAAATGAAATGTTTTTTTATTTTTTAAATTTCAAACCACATAGTTTAAATCAATAAACAAAAGCAATTAATAAGCTTTACTTTGGGCATTTTGAATTAGAACGGTCCTCCATTAATGAATTGATCTCTATTTATTCCTACATTTATTGTAATTATTACAATTAATATTATGTGGAATTTAATAAAATAAAAACCGCATAAAATGACCTGTGGAAAAAATTAATTCAAAATACCCAAAAATGACATTGACAATTAAATGAGAATGTGACATGTGGCAAAAAAAACCTTCATTTATTAGAGTATATATATATATATATATAGATATTATAATATTATATATATAATATAATATATATCATATGTGTGTGTGTTGTGGTGTGGGTGTCTCTGTGTCATGTGTGGTGTGTGTTGTACCTCCAACTTCACCTCTCCTTTGGCCATGTCCTCTATCTCCATATCAATCTATATCTCTATATATATATATATATCTCTATATATACCCTACATTAAACTTTTTAACCTATCATATTTTGCCAAATTCTATGTTTTATTTAATATTTTCAATATATTTATACTTAACTATTGTAATTTAAAAGCATTATAATAAGAGTAAATTACACAAATGGTCCATACAGTTTAGGATAATATGTTTGTTTGGTCCTTAGTTTTTTTACCTCATAACATTCCTATAGTCTTAATTTTTTTTAACTCATAACATTCATATAATTTGGTTTTATTAGATTTTGGTCCATGGTTATGTTAAAAGCTATTGTGAGCTATGTCAATTAAAAATTATAATTGTGAAAATTGGAGGTCACACACATAAACATTGTTAAAAATGTTAGGAAAAAATAGTTGCAAGTGTAGATATTTCAATGTTAGGTTGTGTTTGGCGAGCCACAGTTAGCTTATAAGGTAACTTATTTTTTTGACCTTTTTAGGTGTGTCATGTTTGGTAAGCCACAAAATAGCTTATATGATGCCTTATAAGCTAGCCTTTTGATAAGCTACTCCAACAAACGTTTGAAGGAGTTTGTTATATTTCTTCCAATTATGTCCTTCATAAAATAGCTAAGAGATATGAACGATCACAAAAAATCAGGAACGTGATTATCCCAAATCGTCAATTTTCCTCCATAACGAGAAGGAAGAAACATGGATCTTTTTGTTAAATCCCTAATTAAATACTAATAAAAAATTTCTTTTAGATCTTCTTTATTCTAGTTTCCTATGAACTATCCATGAAGCAAGAAACATGGGTCTTTTGGTTCTAGCATACTGTTTTGGCTATTCTCATTTTTTATCTTCCAGTTGATACCCTTTTCTCCCAATTATGTAATAGTGTTCAAAAATTTATACCCACAAGAAAGATAAAATTAAACAATATGGATAAACTTATAATAAATCTTACTTGTAGTTCATTAGGCATTGAGTTAAACTTATAATAAATCTTACGTGTAGTTCATTAGGCATTGAGTTGCTGCCCTTCTCCATTTTTTTTTCAGTTTTTGTTTGATGCCATTTTCGGAGTATTGATCAAGGTGTGCTGTTCAAAGTGCACTGCTATATTGGGCATACTTCTTTGAAGTTAGTCACTAAATTATTAGGATTGTGAATTACAGTTAACAAAAATTTTAGTCATTATTCCTTGGGGTTAATACATTTTCTGTAACTGTTTGGTCTTACTTTTTTTGGATGTGGTGTTGTTTGTTTTTTGTTGTTCCTTTCACTGTAGCCTTGTACTTTGTTCCCCACTTGCTTCTGATTTTTACATACAATACCTATACAATGATTTTACATGAAACATGGCTCCTAACAAAGATACCGAGGGAGGGATAACATGGAACAACGAGAATGCTGTAAGATTTTGTGAGGTTTGTATTGACTACATTACAAAGAATGAACGTGGTCAACTCATGAGATGGCGAGAGATAGAAGATTTGTTTACAAAAAAGATTAGTAAACGATTTAACCTTACAAGTTTAAATAACAAGTATGATAGAATGAAGAAAGATTGGCGCCTTTGAAAATTTTTAAAAAACAAGAGAAATTGGTTTAGGTTGGAACCCAACCACTGGAAAGCTAGATTGTTCTGATGAATGGTGTGATAGAAGGCTAAAGGTATTACTTAAATATTTATATTTATAGTATTGAGTCTTCTTTTGATATTATAGTGTCTTGTTAGTTCACGTTATAGAAGAAACCCGAAGCAAAGAAGTACCGCCACAAAGAAGTTTATCCACTACTAGAAGAAAAATGGGATCATCTGTTTGGTGATGTTGTGGCAAAAGGAGCGGGTTGTGTATCTCCCTCATTAAATCCAGAGTCTGTAGATAAATCAATTAATGATGTAGACGAGATACAAAATGAAAATGGTTGGTCTGATGAGGCTATGCGTGAATACTCTCAATATTCAAGACTAGAGAGTCTAGATAATCAAGAAAATTATTTTTGGACTAATTTTACTGAAGAGGTTACTGGTAACCCTACAAACTCTGATGTTCCTAAACAAAGTAACAAAAGTGTGAAGCGTAGAAAAAGGGAGTCTAGGTGCGCTGTTTTAATGAAGGAGCATATAGAAAAGGTTCACGAAATCCATTCAGATATTGTGGGTTTGATCAAGCAAGGTCCAAACACTTAAAAGGACAATGTAGGACCTAATATTAAGCAGATAATGGAAATTATGAACCAGATAGCTGCAATTGATGATTTTGAGGTTGGTGGGGATATTTGGTGTCATACGATGCTTATGTTTCGGGATCCAAGTAATAGAGATATATTCTTCGAGATGCCGAGTGATGATGCTAGATTGGCTTGGTCGAATTTTGCTCATACGAGAAATACAATTTGAAGAATTTACTTTGAATGGATTTTTTTAGTGAATAGTCTTATTTTCAAACTTAATGATGTTAGTAATTAGTTTGATGTTTATCTTTTCATTGGATTTTAATCTTGTTTATTTGCAATGTTTTGTATTTTAGTTTGGTGTCACTTTCCTACTTGGTATTTATTTATTTAGCTTCTGATGTTATTGATGAATATAGCTTGCAATGGATGACAATCAAAGGAATCAACTTCTTCTACTTTTAACATTGAGTAGTCTAGAATAACATGTAGGAGTGGTTAATTATTACTACACTCATATTTACAAGAAGCTGTGTATGACTTCAAAGCAGACAGGAGAAGCGTGGATGAACGAGATCTTGGACGGTCATCCCATACTATGTGAAGACTTGGAAAAAAATTATGGGTTGAAGTCAAATGATAGAATATCAGTAAAAGAAAAGGTTGGGATATTCTTGTATACACTTGCCCTAGGTCTTTCTAACGGAGATGTTGCCGAGTGGTTTCAACGTTCTGGAGAGACA